GGGTCCCTGCTTGGATCGAAAGGGAGGTGGAAGGGGCGATGCTGGGGAGGCGGCACTTGCGCGGGGGCTCTTCCCTTGCAGGAGTTTCTGCTGCTGCGGAACACATAAATATATACAAATATATGAATACTTATGCATATGTATGGGAAGAAAAGCGAACAGAAAAAGAACGGGTTCTGAGCAGTTTTTTAATGTAACTTAGTTATTTGTCATTTTCCGGGAATCTGTTGGTCGCTTTAACTTCTCTTTGTCAACTCGCTTAACAAAACAAAACACCCCGCACAAGTGCTTCGGTTTGCGGATTTGGAGGGGTTTTACCTGCGTGCTGCTGCCGCAGAGCTCTAAGTCGTGGCCACCTGGTGGGTTGGCGGGGGTGAATCTCGCCTAAGGGGGATGAGGAGAGCTGTTATTTTCCTAAAAGGGAGGAAAAAATCTGTAACTCATTAAAATGGTCTTTTTTTATAAGACTTTTGATGTCCAGTGTGCAGCATGATTAAATTAGTAGTAGTTCTTGCTTTCTAGCAGACGTAGCTGGGACTTTAGGGAGGCTCTTCCTTTCTTAGGGAGGCTGGAAAGGGGAAGAGAAGCAGGACAAGTGCCAGTTTCCCACTTTGGGCATGGACAAGGTGTATATTTAAGGGTGCCGGGGGGCAGAATGGCCCCTTCCATCAGCACTGACGTAAAGGGGCTGGGAACTGCCCAGGTCCTGAAGCGTCTTCTCTTACCAGCCCTAAATTCCTCCTCCGAAAACACATCTCGTTATCCCGCCTGGTGCCAGCGGCTCCGCTTTACTTGGTTGAATCCGTACGAGTTTGGGTAAGGCTGCTTGGTTTGCAAACAAGCCTGGGCAGCCCCGTCTCCTGCCGGGAGCGAGGTGGATCCAGGGGCGGGTGTCACTCGGGAAGCGCCTTTAAAAACGTGTCCCGCAAAAATGCATGCAGCAAAATGCAAAATTCCAAAATAAAAAATAAAATAAAAAATCCAAATCCCACCTGGCCGGTGCAGGCTTAGGTAAACCCGAGCTCTGCGGCGCCGGTGGTATTTGCAGCACACGCACTTTGCTCCGGGACTGAAGTTCCCCCTTAAATGTCAGTGCAGCAGCGGGGCATCGCCGCGGTGTAGGCTTACAGCAGCGCGTTCTTTGCCCAGCTTCAGCCATATAAAAATAGAAGGTATCCACTACCTAAGATGTCATTGTAATGCTGCTTATCTGAGGTGAAACTGAAGCCCTTATCTTTGATGCCCGAGCAGCAATTAAGCGCGCAGGCTGCCTTTTAAAGGTAACTTGTTGAGTGTGGGGAGGGAGAACAGAGATGCTTGCGTTTACACTTTAATATTATTTTTTTCTCCTGGCATTAACACATTGTCATGAAATTAGTCTGAATTTACAGCTTTCGTTTCAGGGTTGGTTTTAATTTCTGTTTTGGCTGTAGCAGTCTGAAATTATGCTGTAAAAATAATAGTAAAATCCTCTCAAGCCTTTTATTTTTCTCTGATTAATTTAAGAGTTGCGATACTTGGATGTAATTTTGAAAGTGTCAAAGCATAATGTGTTTAGAAACAAGTCTTCAGCTGATGACACAGTGGCATGTGATACTCATTTCACTAGAAACGAGTGTGCCGGTGTTAATCTTTTCCATACTTGGACTTACGGGACGCTAGCGAGTCATGCTTATCTCACCATGGGCACTGTTTTTAAGCTGAGATTTAGGTTTTCTTCTTAGTCAGAAGTGCCTTTCAGGCATGTCTGTGCCTCTCGGGAAACCTGAGTATTTCAGAACCAGAAATTCAAAAAGTCATAGGTTTGTGCTGCCCTGGCTGGTTGCTTCTCCTTAAGCTATAGAGTAAGATGGTAAATGCAAATAAAAGCACAGATGGTGACATCGTCCTAGCGTTGGGTTTTGTCTGCTTACGTGGAGATTAAAGCCCTGCTGTTCTCCCGTAGGCACCGGTCCCGTGGAGCTGATCCGTGAGCACCATGAGCAGCTACAGCGTGTCCCTGGTGGGCCCGGCGCCCTGGGGCTTCCGGCTGCAGGGCGGCAAGGACTTCAACATGCCGCTCTCCATCTCGCGGGTAAGCGCCGCGGCTCGGCCCGCTTCTCTCCTTGTCACCGAGCGACTCCCTTTTCAGTAAAGAGAATTCTTGTTTGCTCGCAGGCCAAGTTTCAGAGCCTTCCTCCCACGTTGGGAGCACTTTGCGTGCCTCGTATATGGACCCACTTTACATTGTTGACTGTGTGGGACTGCTGGAGGTCCCTGAGTGGGGGAATGGGCTCCCGGTGGCTTTGCAGGCCAGCACCTTTAAATTTGGCTTGTGTCGGGGAAGTATTTATGTATGCATGACACCTCCGTTAGCAGCTCGGCCTCCCCCTCCTCCATGTCAATGCAGTTTAGTGACAAAGATTAATTATCTTTTACACCTGTTGGGTCTGCAGAATCGATACCACCTCGGGAAAAGGAGCAGGATACTATTTGGGTGCATGCGTCACGGCAGTATTTTTAGCTAATTTCAGACCCTGTTCCTACGTGAGGATACCTGTGTGTGATAATGATGAAAAATTCAGTGCTGTTGGTGGTAAAACACAGTAAAGGGCGATTTTTAGGAAACAGCAGTGTGCCTTTTTTTTGTTTGTTTGTTTTGTTTTGTTTTAGCAAGGGGTGCTGCTGTCCTGGGGAGGGAGCGTTCAGCTTCTTTGTAAGCAGATTTTGTATCCAAGGGGATCTGAAAAGGCCACACAAAAGCCACATGCTGCAATTAGCCCAGACTACTACTGCTTTACCTCGTGAATTACATTTGCTCTTATATGTGCTCTGCACAGAGTAGCCTAAAGGAAATAGCCCGAATAGCTGCATATAAAAGCGTGGGTTGTGGGATTCTCTAATGACACATGTCGGTGCCTCCAAGAGCACAGCCAAGTGAAAGGCAGGCACTGCTGTGGTTTTAGGACCCTAATTTACAAGCGGGGACAAGGGAGGAGGCACAAATATCCAATTCACGTGTTTATACCTTAGCACAGCTCCTTTGAACTTCCTTGCATTTGGACTTAAGAGCATGCAAATATTAGACTTCCTGGTGCAGCTTTTCTTTTTTCCCTTTTTCCTTCCTTTTTGCTCCTTTGGGTCCTGAAAGTCCCTAGTTGCAGCATGCCAGCCCTGCGTTGGTCTTTTGTTTTTTTTTTTTTTTTTTTTTTTTTTTTTGCACTCAGAATGCTGTGGATGGATCCAGCTGCTCTGCTGAGGGCTCATTTCCTGCTTTAGCCTATTTAAACTCCTGGAAATTATATTTATGAAGTGCAGAAGTGGTTTCTAAGACTGTTAACCAGAAAAGCTAATCCTATTTACTAATAGTCTGGATGAATTAAGACCATGTATGGTAACTTGGAGGAAGTTTTTGTTGTTGTTAACACTCATGCAGTTTTACTTAGAAAGCAGCTGAAATTATTGCTTCCCTGAGGCGGAACTGGTAGATTCTTGAGTTCTTACCTGAAGCTCTTCATGTTACTCAATGTTAAGGTGTTCCAGGTTGAAATCAGTGCAGAACTATTTGTAACACTAACCTCTGTAAAGCAGTGTAAAGCAGACTGTACAATCAGGGCTGGAATTAAGTGGGTCACTCAGTACAGCTCTTGTGCTTTAAAATTGCTAAATATTCTTTGTAAGTAAACATAACTGTGCACATCTCTTAAGTAAATAGAGATAATACTGGGGTTAATCGTTACGATCAGTGGCATAAATTGGTGCGCCAAAAACCATGTGCGCTGCATGTCGTTATGTACATTTGTGTGCAGCTAAGCTTCAGCCAGGTGTGCTGAGGGATTAACCATTTGTGTTTTGCACTGTTGGAGAAATCAGTACAGCTCTTGTGCTTTAAAATTGCTAAATATTCTTTGTACGTAAACATAACTGTGCACATCTCTTAAGTAAATAGAGATAATACTGGGGTTAATCGTTACGATCAGTGGCATAAATTGGTGCGCCAAAAACCCATGTGCGCTGCATGTCGTAATGTATATTTGTGTGCAGCTAGGCTTCAGCCAGGTGTGCTGAGGGAATTAACCATTTATGTTTTGCACTGTTGGAGAAACCTCCTTAAGACCTCTGTTGCGATGCTGCGTGGGCCAGAAATTTGGCACCCGGAAGATGATGCGTGGGAAATGGTTGGGGCGGAGGACAGGAGGGCTCGGTTGATGTGATGGAGGTGTCGTGGGGAGGAGGAAGCCGCTCCTGAGGCGAGAAGCAGGGTCTTGGCTGGGTATGAAGGGCAGGCCAACGTGGTAGACTCCTGCCTTCTACCAAGGACAACTGCTCGAGTGACTCATGTCACCGCATGCAACTGTGCGGTGAGGGTCACAGGTGCTTAAATCTCGAGTGACACTGGCCGAAGGAGAGATTGCAAAGCCTGATAAAATCTGGCCAGGTAGCCAGATAAGGAAGGTGGGACTGAAGGTATGCACACATAGGTTTGGTGGAGGTAGGTTGTCCCCGTGTGGATGAGTTGGTCACTCCTGAACCAACATAGACCTCTAGATAAGCACTATACAGACCTAACAGGCACTTCCATCTTAAGCTTCAAGCGCCTCTGGAAGCTTTGTGGGAACGGAGGACCTGTCCCAACACGTAACAGGCACTTCCATCTTAAGCTTCAAATACCTCTGGAAGCTTCATGGGAATGGAGGACCTGCCCCAACACTCTGGGTGTTGTCACCACAGATCTTCATTATACCTCTGTTATTTCCATACAAAATATATTTGTTTCCAAGTTGCAGGAAGTTCTGTTAAATCATTGTCAAAAACATCGGTCTGGATGAAATTATTTGAAGCTAAATGATTATATTTTTAGTCATGAAGGCCAATACGAAAGGATCTGCTACTGCTGGTGTCTGTGCAGATCCATGACCTTGGTTAAATCTTGCTGCAGTTTGTGATGTGTCCGGCTTGGGAATAACGCTGGCAGATGCCGATTGATTTTATTTTTGCTTCTGGGTTCTTTTGCACAAGGGCTTGTTTATTCCACTGGATTAAAATACTTTCTTCCACTGGATTAAAATACTTTTGGGGTGATGTAATGCGAAGGTACCACTAGGTAAGATTCGTAGAGTGGCTCTCAGGCATCTTAGATATATTGTTAACCCTCAAATTGAGTAAATATAATAACATAGAACATGTCAATATGCACTTTAGTTCATGTCATCTTTAGATTTTGCATTAATGTTATATGACCTGACGTTGTGGGGGTTGTTATTTCTTGGTGCTTAGCTAATGTAACCAAAATAAATTTAATAAGCATCACTGCAACATTAGCATTCTCAGAACTGGTGCACTGTGTGGAAAAAATGAATAGCACTTGGTACTGGTGATGTATTCATTTTGTTATGATGACTTGAGAGAGGTTTAGGTGTTGATACTAAATGTAAGCCTGAAGAGTTTTTAGCCTATCAAAATAGGCACTGAATCCTTGCTGTGGGAAGGAAGTCTCTAAACGTTGTTCCTAACTGTTTTGTGGTGGCTTTCACCTTTGAGAAGAGGACCATCTGAAGTGAAACTGGAGTGTGAATGGTAGTTTAGTCATCTACATGCAGTATACACCCTCCCACCAACGTGAACGCAGGATGCTTTCCTGTATTTGGAGGTGATGTTTTTTTGTTTGGTCTTGGGTGACAACTGTAGTACATCTTTCAGAATATCTATTTGTCTGTCTTTTCCTGTGGAAACTGCGGTGAAATGCTGTCGTCTTGAAATGCTTGACTTCACAGCTCTATTTTTTCTGCCTGCAACTTTCTTCAGTGTTTTTTTCTGCATCTTCTTCCTGATTCTTTGCTCTTTTCGGCCTTCAGTCAAGTCTCGTGTATGTAAAAAAAATATTGCAGTGGGGACTGGGGAAATAATCTTTCAAGCAGGCACGTGAAATGGAGAGAAACATTAGGACAACTGCTGGCTTGGCCAGCACTGATTGTGTTGGTAACTTTATGCTTCATTCTGGAAGCTCCTGCAAACTATGAACTAAGCACTAACTGGCAGCTGCTGGCAGAGCTGTTGCTGCTGAGTTGTGATGGTCTGCATAAAATAGGAGTGCAGATGTCTTCCATTGCTGTAATCTGCATTTTTTACAGTTGAAATTGCAGCGTGTAGAGGAAAACACTACTGCCCCTTGAAGGCACGTCAAGCTAGGAGGTAGACCAAGTTGGGAATAAAGAGTCAATTTGCTTCTCTTGTGGTTCAGGAAGGCTATTTGTTGATGAAAGATATTTTTCATGAAATGTAGGCGAAGATTGTAAGCAGGGTATAGAGTAGAAGGATTTTTTTATTGTTGTTATTTAAAACACATTGGAAGCTGTCAAAATTGCCTAAAAGGTAAATATCTAGACTTTGTGAAGCTTGTGAACTGTGACAAGGTGTTTTTATTAGAGGGCATAAAGTAGCAAGTAGTGCCTTGGCAACGGGCTTTGGAAATTTCTCTTGGGGGCCAATTTTATTGCTGCTGGGGAAGTAATTTAAAATAGTAAAATATGGCAGATAGGAAGTGTACAGAAATTGAGACCGTCTCCAAAGTTACGAGATAAAACATGAACAACTTAAATGTTGTCCTGCCTCAGTTCTCCGTATTAGTCTTGTGTTGAAAAATTGCAAGAGGACTCTTTTCACAGACTTTCCCACTATGCTTTCCATCCCTCGTCCTTGTTGTGCTGTGCAGTTTAAAGCAAGGCAGAGCATCGCTGAAGTGGGATCAGGAGGACATGAGGGAGAGGAGACAGGAGAAATTTCTCTCTATCTTGTCTGATCTTACTCTTATTTGTCAGATAACTCCACAGATCAGTAGGAAGCTATTTTATTTAAAATAAGTCTTCTACTGATGTCATTTCCTCAAAAGTGAAGCTAGCTACAATGAGGAAAAAAAGGAAGCCATGAGCTTGTACCTAAGGGACATGTGATGCAGTGTGTGAACATATTCCTTTTACTTTGAAGAATGATTATGGTCATTATTTTTCCTTGCAAGGAGCCATTTAGTTACACTGTGATGAATGCAAACTGAATATTTTACTATGGAAACATTTGTACACAGCGTGCACTTCTTAG